TTGTTACAGATGCTATAATTTAAAACTAGGCAAGACTCAAATGACTTATTTTCGGGTTAAATTCAATACGTCAATCCGTCATTGGACATGAACTAAATCATAATTTTAACTTTCGAAAATCTAAAAATTTAATCGATGGTATACCTAGGCGCGTAATGGATAATTAAATTATGAGATCAAGTCCTTTAAGTGGTCTGGTATGATCCTGAATAACTAAACCAAATGTTGTGAAACTGAAAACAAATGAGTGGAATGAATTTAAATATCTAAAAACGAGTCATTTGAAAATGTGTTTTTCTTACATTTGCCAACAAACGTTGATATTACAAGGTTTCTTGTAGTGTATGTTTGACTTTTCGCACATCGGTTAGGAAAAATAAGTAATGTTCATGAATTTTCCATTATTACTGTATATGTATAGAGTAGAAATATTTTAAGTATGATTGTCAAGTTCACTTTAATACCAAAATCAATATCCAATTTAAATTCCTCTGTCCACTTCTTTCTAAATCACTATTTCGAAGACGATTATGATAATGATTTCTGTTATTTCGATTGATTTATACACATAATGAATAATTTAATGACAATTAGAAATCAATCATCACTGTTCATAAAATAATAAGATTTATCTGCTTGAATTTATTGGCATAAAATAGTGTAGATTGAACTATGATTATTTAGAAATAAAAAAATAACCAAATCGCTTCAATGGACGGTTGTTAATAGTAACGAAGATCTGAACTACGTAATACTATATTATAGAATGCTATGTATTCTGTACGATAACTAGAAACAATCTATCAGCTAAACTGACCTGAAGTTATGCAATTATTGGTAGTTTTCATGATGAGCATAAATACAAGTTGGTGATTGGTTCGAAACCTCATTATTCATTAAAAAAAAGGTAAACTGGCTAGCGCTAGATTGTTTTAATAGGGAGTTAAGTGAAAGGATTTCGAATCTCAAATAGAAATAAGTTTTCTCAAGGTACGAGGTACTGGTTACTGGTGAGTGATTAAAGTCTGGGACTTTCTGATTAGTATCTTCAGGCGCCAAACAATTTAATAACGTGTCATCATTTGAACTAAACTGTGAAGTCATACAATTTAAAGAAATAGCTTTTATATAGTTTAGAGAAAAAAATCAGTTGGCTTCCTGTCATCAAATCCTTTTATCTAAGCCCAATAGAATCAGTAAAATTATACACAGACTAGTTATTATTCTTAGTATGGTATAACAACTATTCAATTGTATTTTACTTTAAATGAGGTACATTATTCAACAGCGTTATTTATTTAGATAAATAAACTAAACTAGTCTCATCATCTTTTGATTAAATTAATTATTTATTGAAAAGCGTACTAGCAGATAAATAATGAAGTTATCCAATGGACGAATATCATAACATTGATTTTTTTAAAAAAAGTTCTATTTTACTGTTGTACTTACTTTTTGCATAAACGATTGTCTAATCATGTATCTTGTATCTAAAACTGTGTTTTATCTTGAATCGAGAAACATAGGATGGGTTGAAACAATTTTGTTCAGATATTAGAGGTTGGCGAGGATTTTTTGTTGATTGATGATAATTGTTTATCGAAAAATTGTCTGATTTCGGAAGCCGATGAAATATTACATCGATGAGTATACACTGTCCCACTAGGATTGAATTCAAAGTCTTCAGATTAGCAGGATAGTCAGTCAGGTGGAAACTAACGATTTATATTCTAAAGCCATCGCTGATTTACTATTTAGCACCATTTTTACCTGACAACATTGATAAATAATTAGTTTGGTTGACTTCAGAAGTCACAAACGTAGTTTTTATTTTCATGTAGCACTCACAGCTATTATTCAGAGTACGTAAGAAAAGATTAACTTATGGGAACGGAAACAAATTACCATGTAAAAGCTATTCATCAGGGACTGATCTCAGTGCAAGTACCTCTGAAAGCCAAGGAGCACTGTACTGTTATTTTATTCCAGTACATGACTTCTTTGCAATGAGCATTTACGATCCCATCATAGATAAAACTGAAAATCATCACATCTGATGCCGAATACTTGACCAATGACGTCACTTAGTTGAGGTTCAGTGGTACACAGTTCAAACTTCAATAATTTCGCTGTATAGTAGTACTATGATCAATAATGAGATGGCTATTCAGTTCACCCCAGTTTTTAAATGATTCCCCAACTAAGATCATTCCGTGAAAGAGACATTAAAAAAATTAAAATAATCTACACTGAAGCACTTTTTTCCAGAAAAGCTTCATCAAAACACAGCTAATAAAATGATTACCTGTTAATTTAAAACTTGACTCTTATTATCATATTCAAAACAATTGTGATGCAAACAAATACTTATTTGTGAGTTGTAAAATTAGTTTTTGCTGTTTGATTTATGAATTTTATTGATTAAGTCAAAAACTCGTCTTAGTGAAAAATTTCGTTAGTTAGTATATGGGATAGATATGATGATCAATTTTCAATTCTGTCAGTGAATTATTCACACGAAAATGTTTGAAATATTTTTATGAATAATTTAAATTTCATTTTGTTCATCAGTAGAAAACATAGTTAATTATAATATCACACATTAAAAATTTAATTTAAAAGGAATTTACTTGGGATTGAAATTTTAATCAGTCCTTGTAGGTCAGTGTTTATCTAGAGTAAATTTTTTGTCACATATTTCTAGGGTTGATGTTTAAATACAGTAGGTCTTAGGTTCAGTACTCACTGTAAGCAACACCACAGGGATACAAGTAAATTCAACTGATATATTCTCAATAGGACAACACACATATCCTAGATCCCATTGTTAGCCATGTTACAAATATAATGAAGTGGATTTATTCAACAATTGCTTGAAAAATAAAATCTTTAGCAGAAAAGGTTGATTCGAATTCTTATAGAGTTGATTATTTCTAAAATTCTAACAGACGACTGCATACATAGAATCAAGTTCCAGACTTTCACGTGAGACAGATTTACATGGTTAAAAAGAAATCGAACTAGTTTTGCCAGAGTTCATTAATTTAAGTAACACTGTTATTTTTATTCCGTATAAATAGTAACCAGCTATCTCACTTCTAACTTAGTTTAAAGAACTAGTGACATCTTTCTATAAAACTTTGAACCAGTCGTTAACAAGTACATGATAATTATTTACTTTGGTATCTTATATAGAAATTTATAGTGTTGGAAAATAGTTTGATGAGCTAATTGAAAGTAGATGCTGAATTATGTCACTTCACAGAGCATGGACTTTGACTGACTAGTTTAGTAACTTACATCTTAAACAGATGTCAAGTTCAAATCATTATTCATTAAAGAAGGTTTATCCATGTAGACTGCGTTATTAGTTTATAGTTAATTGCATATAATGTCTGTTTTAATATCAGTCGAATTTTTAGTATTCAACCTAACGGATGGATCCATTAGCAAGTCCATAAAAAAGAGGAAAATATAAAATTATTAAGTGTAACATAGAATTTAATTGCTTTCAGTTTATAATTATATTATTCATCATAAGTGTGATGCCAATTTTTATAATCTCTAAATAGTTCGCGATTTTTGTTTTCTAGGTAAAAAAAATGCTAGTTTATGTGAAACAAAAAGCAAAAACGTTATAAATATAAAAGTGATAGAAAGATTTCTGTCTGTACGTTAGTTAACTGGTAATTTTTATTAAAGATAAATATTGTAATTTCGTATGGAATTAGTTCAGTAGTTTTATCTTTTGGTCAGCTGCAATCCATTATATTAATTGAACTGATATACATACATAAAGGTGCTAATAATCGTAATAATAATAATAACAAATATTTCTATTATCGTACTCGTTAAAAAAATTAATGATCTAAAGGTAACATTCTGGTGTTTGAAAGGGAGTGAATTCCAGCTTCACCGGCAACATTATCATAGTTGGAGGTAAATCGCCATGAAAATCTTCGTATTGAACATAGATTTTCTGACAAATGGCTGTCAGGTAGATATCTATTGAAAATCAGTTAGCTGTTTAAATCTATTAGTTGATAGTACTTGCATTTATCAAAATCCCTAAGTTCGGTGATTAGCAAGATATCATACAGGTTGCTTTATTATGCGAAGATGTTATCTTTACCATTCCATCCAAGTTATGATATGATAGCATATCTGAGAAATTTTATTCATGAGTTACTTTCTCATTCGCAACTATGATTTTAACTTAATAGTTTAAATATCGTATGCTCTTCTCAAGATGTTTCATCACAGGTTTGATGCAGTATAGGTTATGAGTAAATACAATGTTAAGTAGTTTCAACTTAAACTGTCTGGTTATTATATGGTCTAAAATGTAATCCAACTACTATGTGAACAATTCATATGCCATCAGTTTGTGAGGATCGAAAAAATAGTCATTTTGTTAGAAATGCATTCTATTTTAAAATGGCCTAACTATTCACAGTGTAAAATGATTATTTCTATAAGTTAATTATTTTATTAAACAGTTTATGATAAAATTAAACACCTAACTTCTTATAAACATAATTTAGTCAGCTATAAAATTTTACTTGATGACTTGAATGGCTCATAAAACTTTCAAATGCTGCAGAGTCATTTATGCAAGTATGTATCATTTCTCTTTGTCCAATGTCAATTTATTTATACTTATCGTTTCTGATGATATTAATTTTTTTTATCCAGAATTTTCTTTGTGGTGTTCATCTGTCTTTGGATTGCTGTTGTCTAATTTTGATGATTGTTTAAAATTTCTACAAAAAAATTATTCAGTTTATCTATCCATGCTAAGGATAAGTTGTTTTAGTAAACAATAATATTCTGTTTATTTTAGTTTTGCTTAAGAATGATTTCTTGTTCACTTTCCAATACAGTTTTATCAAGGAATACTTTTCTCATTTAATTTCATTCTAATGCAGATAAGTTTATTATGATTCGCGCACACACATATCACTGTCATTCATTTATTTTTCTGTTACATTCTTTCACAGATATGTATGCATTTGGACGAGTTATTGTTGAAATTACAAAAGAGGAAAAATCCAATTTAGGATTAACTGTTTCAGATAGTTCTAATCAAGGTGAAGCTCCAGTTATTTTAAATATTCGTCCTGGAAGTGTTGCAGATCGGTAAGTTACTAAATATCAAATGGGCACATTCTTGTGTTTTTCCGATTAAGATGATAAAATTTTTTTATTCTAAAAAGTAATCAGTATTACAAATTAATGCTTTCATTATCATGAGGTTGTATTTCTCAAAAGTTATAACAAAAAGAAATAACTTTTGGTATCAGACACGTCTGTTATATCTAAAAGAATAAGAGAGGAAATCCGCGATTTTTGAATCAACAAAAATTATTACGGACTAAATGTAGTGTTTGGTTAACAAACTGTCCGGCTTTAAGTGCCATTATAAGCCATATCACAGAGGTCTATCAAGGATTTCGCCTTACAACAATTTGCGTTTAACATATATGCACTCCATTCCAGTGATTAATTTTGAATTAAGCAGATAGGATGCACTCTGAAGAACCTGTATGATTTATTTTATCACACTGATGTTTCATCAACCTCATACAATTTGAATGAGAAAAAATAAAAACAACAACAACAATGATTACATTAAAACAACAGGAAACATACTTTTTAAATAGATCATTTTTCGAAAAAAGCAAACAGTAAAACATAAAATATTAAAGTACAATAATAACATGCAATCAAATGGAACTAGTTCAAAATGTAAATATATACACAGAGTAATAAAACAACAATTATAATATTATTGGGTTGAAAGAGCTGAGCTATCAATTAAATATATAGATACTTTAATTCAGTTTGTAAAACATTGAAATGATCAGTAAATCAATTTAGAATCATAAAATTAACAATGAAAGCAATGAAATTCAAGTGGACTTTTAATGTACACAGTGTACAAAGTGGATCGTACCGGTAATAGATTGATTAGCGTTTTAATTTCGAATTAAGTTTAATTGATTATTTCTGGTTGATAAAGACAACCAGAACAGTAAGCTTGCAGTTCAGTACCAAGTGATTGTTTATAATTTTAGCATCAGATGTGAACTGCTTGAAGGGTCATTCTTTTCGGTGAATTAATTTGTAAGCGCTTAGATTTTTATCTTATAAACTATTCGAACTAAAGTATTCCAATCGGTACATACTATTACCGATTCAAAAAATCAATAAGTCAATTTAATTTGCACGAGATACTCTGAATTGTATTTCAATTAATAATTATAATTATTCGGTGTTGTAATTTGTAATAATCATTATTTTACTGCCTAATTCGTAATACGTTTGAAAAGATGCTGATTCTCATTTAGATATTTGTCAACGATTTCACTTCTGATAAATATGATATGATATTAATTTTAATCGAAAGTTCTCCGTGTAGATTGTACTTCGTTTCTATGAAAAGAGAATGATGAAGGTTAAAATCTCTCAAACGAACTGTGTTAATAATGGTTTCTTAAAAAAACGATTACTTCATCTCTATATCAAAGTATGTATTTTCAAAGTTAATGCTAATTGAAATGACTCACTTAGTCTTATATGAACTCGTTTCAACAATTGAGGTAAGCTTAGCAAACTTAGGTACCTTATTGAAACTTGTAATTTTTAGTTTTTACATTAAAAAGTAATTCATCTTTCAGAAGCAAGATAATACTGCGCTGTATGACTGATTTATTATTTAGCTAATTAGGAAAGATGTGAAAAAAAAACGAATTTTTAATCTTTTTTTTCTCTATGTCTAGAAGAAAGTTAACCATTGAAGATGTAAATCATTTTTAAAATGTTAATGACAGTTAAACATGTTGAACAATTTATTTGCAACAGAACAGTTTCAGACTTTGTGAATTTAACTAATCAGATTTTTTTATTCATTCAACATTCCAAATTTTGTTTTTTTGTGTGTCTCCTTGAGATTTTTCGAAAATCTCATGGTTATGTATTAGTAAATCATTTAAACAGTTAAAATGATAGACATTTAAGTATTAAACAATATGTTCAACATATAAAGAATGACGAAATCCCTCCCCTCTCACAACAAAACTAAGACGTACCAGTCAATGTCAGTCTGATGTCTACGAAACATAACGTTTCAAACAATTTTCTCTTAATATTCAATATTCAATGAATTGATGGATAGATGGATAGATAGGCTAATGATTTAAATGATGAATTTTTGCTGTCAGCTTTGAAATTCCTGATTTTATTTCATTACATCACTACCAATATACACGCATCTTTTTAAAACGATATTTGTTCAAATATGTAGAAACATTATCCGTGTTATTATTGCATTGTAATAGCAATTCAAATATGTCGATCGATGAAGCTTTTTGTTCATGCGATCAATAATTTTTATTTTCAGCCAATGTTTGTTTACATTATTGAAATGATAAAGCAAAAAATATCTTGTCCTCCAATTCTGTGATAAAATGAATGAATTAGAAACAATGAGTTTTTATGCTTACTAGTCATGCCTGGCTGCATTGAAAAAAAACATGTTTACTTGAAAATTTCTATGCTAAAGTGTTTCTTGTTTTCTAGTTATGCTCAGCCACCTAATTAAATGATTAGGATATGTATTATGCATAGTCGATTTGTCTTTGATTAAGTCTGTAAAAATCATCAATTGGTATATGAGTAAGTAAATGATATTTACTCTAATTAACCAGTTAAAAATTGGGATTGAATGGGCAACGTTTTCCCAGTGATATTTAAGATTCAACAGAGTAACCTTAATAATACAGTGGTATTATAGAGCAAAGAAAAAAATCTGTTTTTTGGAAGATCTAAGGTTCCCAGATCCTATCCCTTGATCGTTTACTGAGTGAGAAAAAATGTAGAGTCCCAAAATAGAATACACTATATGTTTAATTCTTCTCTGTTTTCATGATTTTATAAAAGTCAGTATCAAACTTAACTAATCCCCAAATTTCATTCAGCAATAAGGCATTCAGTCAATCAGTCAACCAGTAGCAACGTAGAACTTCGTACGTAAGTAAACCAGTTCAAGTTGCCATACCACATTAGCACAGAGATGTAACTGTCAATTCAAATCCCATAGTAGTAGAGGTAGTAAAGGTATTAGCAGTAGTCAGAGAGATTAGGATTAGAAGATATTATTCAAGAAGTAGAACCATGTTAGGTGTGAGAAAAATATTTCCGACGGAAACAGCTGATGGTCACCTAATCAAACGAATTGTCTAGATTGAGAAATTTACGACATTGTGAGTTGACTTCGTGGTTTGAAGATTAAACGTTCCACAGGGAGTCCAAAGGTTATTGGTTGATTTCTTAGTAGAGTCATGGATGCACCCAATTAGGGATCCGTGTACTAGAAACAAATGGATTTACGGTGCTTCCTAGTTTTTGATGTATGATCTATAATTACAAACATTTTTAGAAATTAATGGTAGACTACGATATTGTTAGCTATTTCCTTAGATAAATTAATCAAGGTACAGAAAAGCTTTTAGTTTTTGGACAAGCTATTGTTATGATGATTGCATATATGTGTAATCATGTATTTCATTTATTAGGAATGTTTATTGTCCCGCACATGATCAGTAAAACTTCATCGCATTTGTTTACAAAATCTGGAAATATAAACGCATTTTCATCAATTTCAAAATTCCAGTGATTACATGTTTGGCATATACAACCCGAATTTCCTGGATTTCATTCTTTATGTGATCTTGGATATACACTGCATAGGAGTCATAGATTGGGAAAATACAGGTGTCGACTGCTCTGTTGTTTTTAACAGTTTTCTAAATCAAATAAGTTAGCGACGATAATTATCAACAAATCTCTCGATAAGTTATTCATTTACATCAATTTCTTGATAATTCCTATTAGTTATATTGTATTTACGTGAGGACAAACTCTGAGTGTAACGCTTATAGTTCTTATTGATATGATACCATTTTAGCCTTTGGATTTGTTTTAATTTCAATAAAAATAGTGTATTCTTGGAAAAAACATTGAATAATGTGTTATTTGTTGATGTTGTTGTTTAAATTTATTTGAATTCAATGTAGAAATGATTGTTTCCTGCCGTATGATCATATTTTATCGATGAATTTTATGAATGTATCGAATGAAAATTCCACTTCAAGTAAACATTTGGGCTCAAAAATTCAAATGGAAATCGGATATGAATTGCCATCATTACGTAAGTGATTGTTCAGTGTCTGTCTTATTGATGACGACATGATTAGATATTTGGAATTCTTGTTCTTTTTTCCTCTCTTTCTACTATAAGTAAATGTCATTTTTGTTGTTGATATGCTGTCAAGTTTTTTTCCTGAAAATACAATAGTGTTGTATGGCTGTGCATTAGTATAACATTAGACAATCAATATCAAATTTCTTTTTTCTAGATTAACACTTACTTATTACCATGTAAGTGCGTAAGGCCAATTATTTAGCATTGGAATAATTCAGAATAGAAACACTGGCTAAATAATGTTAGAGGATTTCATGTATCTCCTTTTAGTTTGCTAAGTTAGCCTTCTAAAATGAAGGTAGTGACCAATCAAGTCGCATCTTTATCACGTTTCATTGGAAATAGTATTACGCATATTTTATGATAAAAAATTTAGGGGAAATTAGCAGGTTAGCATTAACTAATTAGGTGTATGGGTCAGTCATAAAAGGAAAAAAATGTACTTCTTGAAATCAAGATAGATAGGCCTAAATAACCAACTGTAACGTTTCTGTGACCCTGGTTATGATAAGCTTGGACCAGACAAGATAGAATCATTTCATTCAATAAAGAAGATCGATTTGGTTAGTATGTGTTAATTAATACATAACCAACAAACTGGGCTTCCCGTTTATAGCCTTTATCCATTCAATATTGTAGAACTTTCTTTGGAAATCCAGACAAATCGGTCATACACATTTCCCGATTTCATTACAATCGGGGAAATAATACTATATATAAATATACCAGTTTTTACTGAATAATAACGTTTCGATGAAACTTCATGCATAGATATTTTTTAGTTTATTATGTAATGTCTCATCTTCGGGAAGATACTGATGTCACTCAAAACGAAGTGACTAAATACTTATCCTTTGGTAGTGATAGGGAACTGAATTATCGACCGTTTTCTTAATCTGGAAGATGTTAAATTTACCAGATGTTCCGAAAATAAAATCACAGTAAAAAAAAGCAACTCTTTCTTGACATACAACCAATGTTATTATTATTATTGTTATAAGAGTTCTGATTTGATTCTCATGGATTTTGTGTGGTGTTCTTATCTATTACTGAAGCAAAATGAAAAGCATACTAAAGTTTTCAATTAAATATTTGACTAATCTGTTTATGCTTTTTAAGATAACAGTCAATTGTTTTTCATTGTTTACTCAGTTCAATAGTTCTTCTATTGTCTTACGTAATCTATATTGGATATGTGAATGTTTTATTCTAGCTCCAGTTGGTTGTACTGTGAAACATATGGTTGTTAATTTGAAAATTGGATCTGACGGCGTTGGTTTAGTAATTCGTGGTGGATGGAATAAATCAGCCTTACTCATTCGACCATTGACTGTTATGCATATACGTCAAAATAGTGCTGCTGATTGGTAAGTTCTAATGTATTTTTCTAACTATATCCTGTGTACCATAAGTTAAGTAAATTGATTTAATAAGCGTTATTAAATGGTAGCAATTGTTAACATGACTCTTTGTACTTCAAAAGATTGTAGATACGAATTTCTCCTGAAAAATGTGAACTACAATTCTTCCTGACAAAAAAAAAACAGAAAGTGGAATAAGTTTAAAAGTTTCAGCTTTTTTTTTTTACTTTGTTGGTTGATAATTTATGATAGAAACTGTTGAATTGAATACTTCAGCAATTGTTAGATTTACTAAACTTTTATAAATAATTTTGTCCAAAAAAAAAAATCAACTGACTCCAACTGTAAAATGAATGTAAATGAGGGAAGAATAAACGGATATTTCTTTTTAGTTTGTCTGTATCACCTGGGAAGTAAGTATACATTCATAATCTCAAATATATTGAAAACCAGATTAACGTTTATCAACTGAATCAGTATATCATATCCTACAATGTTCCAACATAAAATTCAGTAGTTATTTTTAAGAACATGACAAAGATTTTATTTTCTTTCTCGACACTATTGAACTGCATCAGCGATAAATTTTTTTCTAGGATTTTAAAAATTACCAGTAAGGTAGTTTAATTTGTTTGGAATGAACTAATCTCATGAAACCTATTCAACTCACTCTGTAAGATTTAACGAGACATGAAATATTATCTTTAAGCATTGTTAAGTTTAAATGGATGTGAATCATGAAACTTTTGTAAATAATAATAGCAATAATAAGATTTATTGATCTTCCCTTACTATTTGGGAAATCAAATGTTGAGCTTTGTTAATGAAGTAGTGTTGTTCAACTTTATGTGTTTGCAACAAATCTGGAATATATCTGAAGCATATTTTAGTAATTATCAAGCTATATTAAACTGATCGAAATTATCAGCAAAATCAATATACGGTTTAGCTCACTGAAAACTTCACTCTCGAAGTGTCTGAAATTCACTTGTCAAGAGTTCTCATTCAGACTTTAAGCGGATCTTGAAGTAGTTCATTAGTGAGCTAACTATTATAGTTTGCTTGACGAGGTTTCGTTTAGATCAGTTTAATTTTTTTTAGACGGTAGTATTGTTTTTGCAGAATTGAAATGACAATCTACAGACTAGATTCAGAGTCATTGATGAACACATGTTTATGCGTAAAATATGTCTACATTATTGTACAGTTGGTTATTAGCATCAGTATAGACTATTTCTTTAGACAATTTTATTTGATAAATAAATAATTAGATTTCGAAACAGTTTATTATATCATCAAATATATATATATATATACGAAATACGATTTGGTAACTTTATTACTTCTCTATGAGTTGAGTATTGTTGAGCAGCAGTAGTTTAATAAGTAGCTTTTAAAATTATGTCGTCAGCTTATCAAGAGGGTTTTTTGGATCATAAAGCATTCGCTTCTCCCTAGAAGTATAAGTCTATCTGAGAGATATGAATTGTGTACACGACAAAAAGGAATATTCTTATCTTCTATTTAAAAGTTTGTACTATCCAATAGTGCATACTAAAGATTTGGTAGCTAACTGAATAGCACGTCGACAGCTGAAACAAATTATACAAGCTCGAGTCTTGGCTAGAATTTCTCTACTGAATAGAAACGGCACTAAATTAACGAATCACGTACAAAAGAAGACAAAATCTATGTCCTAATTTTCTCACTTTCAACAACAATTCAACTTTACTTCACATTTTCTCTTTCTCCAGCGAATTAATTAATCTACAGAAGATAGTAAGAGAGAGAGAGCGAGAGAGAAATACGAATATTTGTGGTGAATGATAAGAAAACAGATTTATTTCTCTCCTTATCATAATCCATAGATTATTATCTTTATACTAAAAAGAATATCTCACTATTTGTTCATATCTATGGCCAATATATACTCTATAATCTACATAGATTAATAATCACATTCTCTTGACAAAAAAATAATTCAAAACAAGACAAAAACACAGACGTAGCGAACATTTGTCGAAATGGGAAAATGATTTCTTTTGCTTGAGATAATAATTGTTTTTTTTTCACTCAACTGCAATGATATTAATTAATTATTACTGTTCTATCATAGTTGATTTGATTAGAATAGACTGTTGCCGATATTGGTTATTTGTGTGTGTGTGTGTGTGCGTGTATTTTATTATTACCGATAATAAATACAACATATTAAGTGGTTTGTTGTGTATTCAAGTTGACTAGAATACAGCTTTGGGTAATTGTTTCTTATTGACGTAGATTGTCTATTAAATGAATGCAGTTGGACTATAAACATCTTTATGCAAAGGTGTTGAATATAAAAAATTATACTTTGTACATTAATACACTTTCAGATATCCAGGATCTGCTAATATAAGGATGTTCGTCTCGTTGTTCGAAAGTGAACTGAATGACGAATGTTTTTTATGCTACTTACTAGTGAATAATAATTAATCAAATGAAATTTCCTAAATTTAGTGATCGTTTTAACATTCTCATTAAATATATGACATAAAAGGTTCTTCTTACAGTATTCGAATAATGTTAAGACAATAGATGTGTATGAATTGTCAGGTTTCAGGCATCTTGCTCATCAAAATATTGTGTGGAAGATTAGACAATTGTTCACCTTTTAACTGCTTTTAATTATTTTGAGGCATATTATCACTAAATCATGAAAACAAACTTAATAGATGACAGGTTGAAAATAGAAGGGAGTATGAATCTTGGATTCGACTGCTAGTCACAAACAAATATGCTGTAAATTCATACAATTTTCAATACAGTAGTCAATTATAATTTTCGGTTGTGACGTATTTTGCATTAAGAGTCCACAAAGCGGAATTTCTTCTCATTTGGTAGAAAGTGAATGTAGTATCAAGATGTCAAATCTGTTCAGTTTAGCCCAAGTCCTATGTGACTTTGCTAAAAGCAGAACATTTCATCTTCTTTATGTGACAAGAATCATCAGCCTGGAATTGAAGAAACAAGTCTTAGGTGTAGAAAGTTTCGTTTCTGATTTTCTGTTTACCCATAATAAGGTTGGTTCATTTTGTTCCATTGATTTTACCTACTCACTTCGTGAGCCCTTCGACTTTCATATTCACTTTAACTGTACTTGTATGGTCTAGGGAACAAGTCACTGAAAATCATTGTTTCATAAAATACTTTTTCTGTTTTAATATTTCATGAAAATTTTTAAATTATTTGTTCCAATGGCATAACTTGTTTTCGGCTTTTTCATTGATGAAACTAATTAATATTGTAAACAGAAAAATAGCAGCAACATCAACAAAGAGATTGATGAAAAATAAAATCTTTATCAAATGATAATTAACTCGACAATATAACAAGTAATATAATCTATAAACTGTTTCAAATGATAAGCAATCAAGTCATGAGACATTTTCTATTCTATAAAAACTATATAGTGATTAGAAGTAAAATCGAGAAGGTATGTTTCTTCCTATTCTGGGACTCATCAGTTTGATGAACTTCTACAAAAGTGTTAAATGGTCACACTATGAACTGAACCCGGTGAACACCACTGAGTCATTGAGACTGGATTACTATTAAATTATGCAATGATTTTAAGAATTTTATTGAACAGGGCTTGCATTTTATTGTTGGTGATATCAAGGTTTACAATTGATCAGTCACTCGTTGTATACCTGTTTGCCGCGCAAATCGTCTTGACATTGAAATCTACTTATAAGTTTTTTCTTAGAGTGGGATACTAGTTAGGAGTGAGATCTAGGAAGTGTGTTTTAACCTACTTATTTACTTATCAACTAGCCGTACATCGACTTCACTGATGATGTTTACATTCTATGGTCTAGTTTTTTTTAACTGAACTCATCCGTAAAAATATCAATGTTTTTTTCAAGAATTTCATTCTTCACGACATAACATTCAATCGATTATTTTATGGAGGGCTATCCAAATCATAATATTTGTTTGTTTGTTTTCCGTTTTAGTAATTGTTTTATGAGAATTTAACCAATTAACTTGCCAAAATAATCATTCACTTTTTCTAGTCACCATTGTTCTATACTTACGATATAAGTTATTCGACTTTGTTTATTTTTTCAAGTGATCATTGATCTTATAGATATTTTAGTGGAATACAAGATCAGAAATGTCATACAAAAAAGTTTGGTGATGCGAAAAAAAATGTAGTCGAAGAACTTTCTATGTTGGTTTTATACTAATTTTTAGGACAAATAGTGACTTCAGGTTTTATTTCTTTTTGCTTGTAGCATAACTGTTTAAAAATGACTGAACTTTTGAGCTTGGTTGTTAATCAGAATGATAAATAAGCATTACGTTTTTGAGAGGATCAGAGGGATGAAAAGCTGTAGATTCAGTGTTTATAATTTTAATTGTAACACTGGGTTCACATCAACTAGTAGCTGTTTGATTAGACTACACTAAGACTTTCTATCGTGATGCCATCCACTGTGGAGTGGATGTACGTTCTGAAGGCCGTGGTGAATAAAAGACGGTACAATTCACACTACATTTTAGATGACAGAGTCAAAAGTCCACTAATTGGAATGATTTCACAGATTTATAGGTGTTATGGGGTTTTAGTGGCGATCGAGTCGAAATTGACTAAGATCACCACTAAATACTTATTACGAGCCCATCATAGAGAAGATGAATAAATCTATGTTAAAAAATATATTTGGTGGCGATTTCATGGTGTAGTATGGATACCTGAATCTAGCCGGAATAGTGGGGGCGAAATTACAGAGACACAGGAGCCAAAATGGCAGCTACACAAACAAAACGTTTGCTCGGACAAAGCTTTACTTTCAATTGTGGTTAAGTTAATGAATTTTTGAGTAAATCATTCGAACAATTCAGGCGAGTTTATGAGTCAATGACAATTGTGCTATGAATTACTCAATTAAATAATAGTAACAGAAACGAATATGACAAGTTTAGTAGTAGTGTTTTGAGTACTAAAGATAACCATAGTAGAATAGGTAAATATTTTATTGTTGAAAGTAAGATAATTCTTGAATTGAAAATATGTTAAGCTATATTATACCATTTGTTCTTTTCTATACTCTATTCGAATTAAAAGCTTAGAAATTAAATAGTTTTAGATAAAGCGAATACTATTCAGATTTATGTGCATCATTATGTAAGATCACGTTTTATTCTGTGAGTGAAACTGTGTTAGAAGAAATTATCTCACGATAAACAATCATAGTAATGTAAAGGTTGACATTCTTGAGTAAAAATTCTTCATGAGGCAACCTATTCATGACATTATGAAAGCATAGAATAATGCTGTTGATGAAATTCACATAGTACTTGTGAATTGGTGTTTCATAAGAAAACACTCATGGTTTGAACATTTCAATGATGAAGTCTTTAAGTATGATAATGTAGAACGTGGATTAAAATCGAAAGTCGATTCTTCAAAGACAATAGATAAACTTTGTCAACGGTCATGGTATCCGATTGTAAGACCAGCTAACCGATCCATCAAAACAGCTGACCTATGTGTTGCACTTCGTTTAAGAGCGTATTATTTAAAAAATTTTGATGAACAAAATATTCTGTTCGGTGGACGACGTCAAAAAAGTTGTGACCATTGGAAAGGCCTTGAAGTATTCAAAAGGTAAAATTGATTAGATCCATATCAATCTAGGAGTAGTTATCATTGAATACTAATGATATGAACTATTCGATGATCGAAAAATAATAACATTAAGAACTTTTTATCACCAGTTTCCTATTCATTGATAATAATTCTATACTCAACAGCCTAGCATATTTGAAAGTTTTTTAAAACTTATGGTAGTTGGTCAGCTAGAAGCTAAATTACATCAATGACATATGTATGCTATTGAACGATCAAGGAACATGGAACTTTGAAAAGCTATTTTGTCGTAGTACTCAGAAGTTTTCACCTAGAGATTAAACATGAAACCTTTAGTTTTCGGAACGAAGACGACTTCGTTAAATCACTGGTTTGGAGTCTAACAGATCATATGCCCAATTTCAGTCAGTTTGCCAAATGTAGCAGTCTTCTGGGAGTTTAATAAATAAGTCACACTACCTCACTCCCAACATAGCTGAACTATATTAGCCTCCTGATAAAATTTTTGGAATTTTTCACAGAGTAATCAATCAAAGATCAAAGTAAAAATGGATTTTTTTTAATACTATTGTGGAAAATTGTGACTTGTAGAGTAAACATAGTCTAGATCGCTGTTTAATGGTCATCCAAGTTCATCTATTCTCATGGATATTTTGAGCCAATACCTAGCCTTATTGCAATCAGTCAATTAGTTAAACAAGTTGACCATGTAATTTTATTTGGAGACTCATTCAAGCTGGTAGGTCAGTGATAATCTGAGGGAACCATCCTATCTAGAATTTTAAAACTTAAGCTACTATCGATAATCTCTGAATCAGATTATTTAATTCAAGGTGAACACCCATATAGGCACAATCAGATTAAAAATATGAAACCGAATTAACAAACAAAGCTCATGTTAATTTGATATCTGTACTTCTCCTGATGTTGTTTGGAACAACAATCGTTCATTCTCCAACTAAATCATTCAGTTGAGTGAACTCAACGACATTTACATATCTTGTATTATTATCATCTATAACGAAAATGACACTTTCTGAAAAAAGAATACTTTGTGTATGTAGTAATTTAGAATTGAAATTATTGTTCACCTATTCATTATTTACATTATCTAATCAACTTATATTCATATTTAAACTTGAAATTCAGTGATGGACGAATTAAACCCGGAGATCGTATACTCACAATTAATAGTATACACACAGGCCAGTTAACATGTGAAGAAGCAATGAAATTAATACAATCTATTAGAAATTATTTAACATTAACTATAGAATATAATGTAGCCAATTTCGGTGAGTTATTCTGAGTTTATGAGTGTTGTACATGTATATATATATATATATATATATATATATATATCTTTTGATTTTTACCATTTCAGACTACAAGTGAACTTATTTGTTTATTCACAAAAATATTTCAAATTTTCATACTAAGATATTATTGTATTTATCTATATGTCTAAATGTTCCTGGATAAAAGATGTGTGAGTGTGTGTATGTGCGTGTATGTTAGAAAGAGATATAAAGAACGAAAGAAGGATGAACTATGCGACAATGTAAGAAATCAAAAGTACATTCCAACTATTTACTACATTCACTGATCCGTTATAGATAGTAATGATAATATTTTGAGAGGTGAAAAATTTCGAAGCCTAGGTAAATTGTAGAGGTTTTAAATAATTAAACGAATTAAAAGAACTTTTGACAACCTTAAAATAGTCGACAGCTCTCATGTACCAATTTGACACTTTTGACTGCACACAAGATCAAACCATAGATACCTTGGTCTTTCAAGCAACATGATTTCGTTTAATTAACTATTTGGAATAAGTTCTAACCTTCGGAGTTATTCATCACCTTTACCTTTTTCTTTTTAAGTTTTTTTCACTAGATTCTGCTTCTTGAACAATATGTTTAAACCCCAATCTCTCTGATTACTGCTAATACCTCTACTATCTCTACCACTGTTGGATTCGAACTGGCAATCACTTCTCTGTACTAATGTGGTATGGTGACCTGAACTTTTGTACGTACGTATGAAGTTCTGTGCTGGTGTTCAATGACTGACTGACCTATTCGAAATCTAATAGTTTACAAAACAACGGATATTTGATAAAAAATCATCGCATTCCTAAAGTGACTGACTCTCAGTGAATATTTCTTACTGGATGTTCGCAAAATTCCTTAAGATAGTTTTTTTCCAGTGAATTTGTACATTTAAAATGTAACTAGTCTTTTGAATAAGTGATGTTGCCTGTTGGATGGATGCGTCTGTATTCGATTGGGACATTTTGCTTCAAACGTCAACATGATATTCACTGAGCTATTGCATTAATATCGTGACAAACTTGTCCAATCGGTATGATATTTAAATCATCATCAGTAGGAGTTTGAATTATGCGATTGTTCATATTAAGGATTGAATTTCACTCACTATCTGATATATTTATCTCTTTTATGGATTGGTCTAATACGCTACCAATTATATCTTTGATTTATTTAGAATTTGTTTTAATTTATCTGATTTATTTCTTGGCCGTTTATTCCAAAAATTCGTTTCCTAGGAAAGAAAGGTTCATCCGTAGACATATTACATAGTTTGTGAATGTTAATTTTCAAATAAATCAATGATTTTTCGTGTTTACGCAGTTACCTTTTATTTAAAACGATCTGTGCTTTTAAGAAAGTAGTGTATTTGTCCTGATACATTTCAGGCAATTTGATCACACATATTTTGTCAAAACAGACATGTATGAAAACTAATGAAGGTCAATTAATTTGAATAAATCAACATAGATAGGAATAACCAAAGAAATCAATCGAGGTTGTAGAAACATATTGTTACAAATGGTTTCAGGTTTATTCAGTTTCATGTCCCTTGATGAATCCTAGGAATAAAAAACCGAACTCTTTATTAGGAAAACACGTAATTAGAGTAGAGCACAGAAATGACCCTCTAATAACTTTTGTTAATAGCACATTCTTCAGTTTGTGTAAACTTAAGGCATTTGAAAACTCAAATTACCTTTATGCATTCAAAAACAGTTTGTTTGAACTTTGGATTTGCTTTCGAACCCTGTAATTCGTGTTAATGTCTAGGGAGAGGGTTGTTATGGTTTCCATATAAAACCGTTTGTTCATCTATATATTTACAGTTAAGACTGTGTATTCAAACACAACAAGCGAAACATTATTGGCAAAATATGATAAACTAACGTTGTTACTTTCTGTTTAGCTACATACAATTTAACAAATGTGATTATTGTGAATTATTAGCATAATTTGGAATTCCGAACACGGAATTGTTCATCAACGTTACAGACTTTTTGTATATTACGTTGATAAAAGCTTTGTTGAAGGTGCAATCCTTCTATTCCTTTATATTGTAAACTACCTATTTGTTATTGATAGACAATTCATTTTTTTTTTGAATTCCCGATTATCTCACTGATTCACAATGACCATTTATGTAGCTGGAGAGGAAGTCACGAAATACAGGGAATTTATTATATTCTGTAAATATTGTTGTTCTATCTCTGTTTAAATCTGTGAAGAGATGCGACTGCACTTGATATTCTTTGGAGTTCTTGTTTAATTAATCTTCAGTGCTTTTCATATATAGGTACTTTGACAGGTATATATCTATATGTATAACTAGGTTAGCTGAAATGTATTAGTACTAACAGATCACACTGTTTTTCATATCAGCTCGGTCATTTCAATATACTCTTAAATGTTAACTGTTTCCCAGCTCATAAGTCATTTAGTTTTATCATTATTTATCCGTTATACTTTGAACAATTCTTAAACATTACTGAAAGAAGCAAACAATAAAAGGGAACTTTTTGTTCAATGTAACAATTAGATTAAATTTTTATATACAATTTTTTAAACAGTACACAAAATAAATCAATGTGAAAAGATATTTTCGGTAAGTTTAAAAACAAATAAAACCAAAACAAACTTTACATTTTTTTAAGGATGTTAACAAATGATAGTTAAAAACTAATTTTATGCAATCTGTTCAAACATAAGTGATTCGTTTAATTTAATCGACAAACTTTTTATCAAAAAAAATACTTTGATCATTGTAAATTAAAAAAAAAGTTAGACTTTCTAATTTCAAAACTAAATCAACCGAAAATCGCTTAAATATTTCCCTAAAATAAAAAACTGTTTAAATTAGTGAGAAAATTTTCTAAGAATGCATAAAACTACTTTCACACAATGAATAAATCAACTAAAAATCTAACATACACAACCGATAATTGAAGGATTATCTGATTTGGCTAAATAATCCGAACTAACTCTATGGACGACACTCAGACAAACAAACACGGTCAGTTTTGTTTTAATCAACCAACTGAGTTCAATTTTTTTTCTAGTAATCCGATTTAAATTAAGTATTTGTAGATAAATATAAAGAATACTAATGAAAGATGAAAATGTAACCGGAAAAAAATAGAAGAACGATTGAATATGATTTATTAAAGAAAAATAAATTTCAATAAAAAAAAGGTATCTCATACCATACGATTCATTAATCAGTAGTTGTTAATAACTGCAAATCGTTTTTTGCTCGTTTAAATGTAAATATTTTGCAAAAGACTATTTTTTTTTGGTCACAACATGAAAAACAAGCATTTACATTATTTATGAAGTAATATAAATTATATTCATACACATAATAAATAAACGATATTTTGAATGATTCAAGTTTTTCTGTCCTGAATTTTAAAATAATATTGTGTGTGTGTGTTTTAAAAATTTAATTCATTTTTTTTGGCAAAATCTACTTTGTAATTCTTTGAATTATTGTTTTTCGCATTGAAAAACCATTAAATATTGATTTTGTTCCAGGCTTATCAAAATGATTTTTAATTTGGAATAAAGAGAAGCCTACATCCTAGATTCCAGCATTCTGTGCTCCAAGTCACTGAGTGTTGAATTCTAATGGTGATCTAACAATGATTGGTTTATAATTTCCACGTTTGGCCTACTGTTGATAAAACTTTTGTTATAGTATTTTATAGTTTTCTTACTACTATCAGTACTCACCTGTCTTCCCTACTATCCACTTGTACTTTTGCCTATTATGTGTGTAGTGACGTAATCTATTTCATTTCATTGTGATTATTGACCTCCTAAATTGCCTTGATTGGTTAAACATTTTCGCACATAAATATTCTTTATATTAGAGTTAAGCCTGATGACGATCTAATTGAAAACAATATTGTTCGCTTATATTTGTGTTGTTCTGATTTCAAATGTGTAAAAACACTAATCTTCATAACTCTAATTGAGAATAATTTATGGTTGTGGATATATTTTCGTCAAAAAATAATTACTGTCTTATTTATTATTTAGAGAAAGTCGTAATTGAATATCCAAAGGCAAATAGTATAAATGTTCCGTAACATCAAAAATGATAAAATGCATTGGAGTTACACATGAACTAAAGATTATATAGCTGATTAACTGAATTAATTAAATACAGTTTGTTCTGAAAATTAGACAACATTATGTCAAGTGAGAAATCGTAAATTTACGTGATTTCTTTCTGGTGATAAAATAATCATTGTAAAGTTATATTTGTCGGGGATGATAGATCACCAGAACTCGCTTGATAAATGCCTTATTTTGGATTTCACCTTTGCGAGCGTGGGCTGACCAGTTGACCTTGAGATTTCGTTTCCCACCAGGAAAATCCATGGCTGCGATTGGCGGTTGTGTATTTTAGTGTGCTATTTCTGTGGTTGTCGCAAGGACGTCTCTATGATGTTCATGATAAGAACTCGTTTGAAATTACACAGTCTCTAAAAATAATCTTTTTTGAATGAATGATTGTTAACATTTGACTTTGTGTGAATATATATATATATATAGATATATATATATATATATATATATATATATACATATATATATATATATACATTTGATGTACTAGTAATTTGTAGTCAGTATAAGCTAGCAAGTTGCAATATCAACAGAGTAAGAGAAATGTTATTGATTTAATCAAAATTGAGATAATATTAAAATGAACAAAAGTACAAAATGAAATTTATGAAATGCTTGGAAATAAAAGCACTGAAGAATGAATCCAGATAATTGACATGGAAAAAAATTCCGTTCCATACTTTACTAGGTTATTTATGACAGATTTTGATGATTTTTTTTATTCTGAACCTTAATCATGTAAGTTGTACTTTTTGATTTAGATCAGTTTGATATCTGGTGATTTCCTGAGACATTGTTTTACTTTGACCTTGTAACTTACCAGCAAAGTT